GAGGGCTAGTTAGTAGAATTTTGAACATTTATGCTAAATAAATTCATTAACCAATTTCTCAATGAAAAAAATTATATAATATCTTAGTCAATTTTCTATTGCAGTAATACTACCATGGCAAAGTCTACTTGTATAAAGAAGAGTTCAGATTGGTCTTATGGCTCCAGAGAGCTAGAGTTCATGTTGACAAAACAGTGGTAGCAGGCAGCAAGAAGCCTGACCTGCAGCTGAATTCTCAAACCACAAGCCAGAAACTGAGACCACAATAGGGATGGCAGGAGTCTTTTAATTACTATTATTATTAATTAAATTTATTCATTTATTTTGCATCCCAACCAGTTTTCTCTCCCTCCTCTTCTCCCATCCCATCTCCCCTCTTACTTCTGAGCCTCCCATCCACTCCTCCTCAGGTTCTGTTCAGAAAAGGGCAGCCCTTCCATGGATATAAACAAAGCATGGTGAATTAAGTTACCCTGTAACCAAGAAGTCATCAAATAAATTTCATCCAGTAACTGATGGAAACAGACACAGAGACCTACGGCTAACCATTAGTCTGTGCCTGGGCAATCATGAGGAAGAAAGGGAGGAAGGGTTGTATGAGCTAAAGGGATAAAGGACATCATACAAAACCCCAAAGAATCAACTAACTTAGCTCATAAGAACCTGCAGGGGACTGACCTAGGCTCTCTCTCTCTCTATATATATATATATATATATATATATATATAATTTATATAATATCTTAGTCAATTTTCTATTGCAGTAATACTACCATGGCAAAGTCTACTTGTATAAAGAAGATATATATATATATTTGGTGTGTGTGAGAGAGACAGTTGTGTAGCTTGGTTTACTTGGGGGAATTCTAAGAGTGGGAGCATTTTCCTCATATTGTGTTGCCTTGAAGAGCCTTAATAAAAAGGGTGGAGTCATTTTGCAAATACAAATTCTGCCCCTGTCATACTTCCAACAAGAGGACACCTAATCCTCTCCAAAGAGCTACCAACTTGGGATCAAGTATTCAAATGCCTGAGAGTTATGGGGTAGTGCATCTAATTTAAACCAGCAAAAGTAAATTCTAGACCAATTTTTCACTCTTGGAATTTCAGGATTTTGAAGTGAGAGATTATAGAGCCAATCACATTTTTCATGTTTGTCTATTTCTTCAGGTAAAGAGGCATTGCTGATGAAACAGTCCAATTTTGCACAACATTAGATTCTTTTCTAATGTCTAAGCTAACAACTAGTGATCTCTAATTCAGGAGTAATAATAATATTCAATATCTTCCCATCGTTCTCTTTGAAATTTTATCTTTATTTTTAAGAATAATGCCAAGAACACTTTTCAAAGATCACTGGCACTGAATGCTCTCTTCTTGTGAACTGGATTAAAATGAGTCTTAAATCTATGAAGACTGATTATTTTAAATCATTACTCTTTTCTTGACAGTTTGACACTTAATCCCATAAAAGGAAAGATGCAAATTAGTTTGGTACATGGTACATATAAAGAACAAAAATGCAAATCTCTATTTCATTTCTCAGATGTTGTGGATCAACCATATTTAGTTTTCCTAAAGCAGTTAAACAATGCATTTAAGTACTATAGTTTCAATAATTACAGTTTGTCTCATTTGCATTACAGAAAAATCTGCAGTTTTTTGAAGCCATTCTGTGACATGCTTTTCTCATTCTTTAACTGGGAGCCTTTGCTGAGAGGGAAAAGAATAGTCACAGAACACTTGCAAGTATGTGGGTCTTACTTGACCTTTTCGTTAGTATGTTTGCCCAAATTGTTTTCAATAATTTTTTCTGATTCTTAAATACTAAAGTGTAATATGTAATATGCTAAGTTAACTAGACAACATATATTCACACATTCTGCTTTAAATGTTTAAACTTAAAATATGTCATCTTTACTTAATTCAATGGACATTTTAATTTAGCATTGTGTATTTAACAGTTCAATGCCCAAACATACATTTAGCTACTAACAATCAGTAGGTTTTGTTTAAATTAAATCCTTTAAATATGCATACAAAAACTCAAATGTACTTGCTTTAATTTTTAATTAAATGTGACTCCTTAGTGTATGTATACTCAGAATCTTTAGCGAGAGCTGATTTCTCAGTCATGAAAATCTCACAAGTTTGCTTCAAGTATAAAGTTTCTGGCCTATTTTGCAGGTCCATCTAAGGTACATATTTAGTTCATTTTTGCATACAATTGTCTTACCATTCTGGTACAGTTCTGGCATTATAATCATCTTCAACACACTGTTTTCCTTTTTATTTGAAATATACTCTCTTCTCTTAAAAAAAAAAAAAGAAACAAAAATTTCTACCTATCCTCTGCAGCTAAACTCCAGAATACTTACATACTTGCCTTAGGTTACAGAATTTCTTTTCCTGTTTCTGTAGTTGAGTGTTCTGCAATATTTTCCTTTAAAGGAGTGAACATATTTGTATTATCAAAGACAAAAAGAATTTCCACCAAAACTTGTATTGGTGCCATGCAAGCAAGGTTAAATAGAGCAAAACTCCACTGTGATACAGGCAGTAAATTAACTTTTTCATCTTAGCTCTAAAGTGTCTTCATGCACAGATAACTAGAAGATGAACTTCAGTGTCAATATATATTAATGATTTTAGTTTTTGGATGGCATATGAAAAAAAGTATTAGGTTAATTTCTTAATTTATCCACTTAGCTTATCATTATATTGAAGATTAATTGTTTCCAATTACAGGTTAAGTAAATGTCCTCACTTGCACATTTGTCATAACTCAGTTGAAATTTGTGTGGGGATGGAAATTTTTCTTGCTATTTTAAATTTTTGACAGCACTGGAGTCTATAAATGAATTTGACAAGACTTGTTATTTGAAGCACTTTACTTGTCAAAATGCCTTTACTGTAGTTTAAGTTTCATATATAAACACTGTTTTACCTTGTACTTGTAGTTTGATTTATTAAGAAATGTCAAGTATATAGAAAAAATTATTTTGCTGTGTGATTCATTGTTTGGTAGTAATAATGAATGCTTTCTTCTCATTCAGTAAAATTGTGATCTCAGCATCAAGCTCAAAATACCTACATAAATCTTTGTAGTTGCTAATTCATCCAAATGCTTGTTTGGTATGGTGAGTTGAGCTACACAAACTGCAATTTTGACCAAAATTTACAAAGTCATGATGATTCAGTTTACAAGAATGTTCAGTATTGATTCTACTGTTTCAATAACAAATGACAGATTAAAATATGTCCAATAAAGTATTGATACAGAAACTACACTTTGAATACCATATATTTTTACAATTTTTTTTATTAAATGGACTCCTTCCTGCCCCATATATTCTGCCATTCCTTAGTCATAACAGTTAATGTTATTCATCATCTTTAAGAGTATTCTAGACTCTTTTTGTTCATGGGAATAATTAATATGGGCAAATATTTAATCTTTTAAAATTTAATATTGCTTCATCACATAATGAACAAATATTTATTGTTGGTAATATCTGTTAACTAATGGAGAGGCAATGACACACAATCCAAGCCATTTTCCTTATTTTCCAAATTCCCTCTTAATATCCATAACTTTTTATGTAACTAAACTTTCCAACATACTAATCTCAAGTTTACTTTTTCTGGATACATTTTATGAGATTCTGTAAGCAAATAGGCACTAATAAATATTGTTTAACTAGTTTATATACGAGCTTTTTAATTACATGTTTTGCTGGTAGCCTCATATCATTTACTTAATTTTATTTTTCCATAAGAAAAATCTGCTATGATGTGGTGTTACATTTTGACTGATGATATTCATGGTTGCTGTGTTTCTGTGAGTTGACAAATGGTGATAACTGTTTAGTCTAGTAATAATAACATGTTATGTGTCTTTTATGTGACAGCAATGGAATCCCTTCATAATAAACATGAGTTGACCTTTAACTGATAATAAAATAATTCTTACCAAATTGCATTAAAATGTCATGATCCAAATCTTTTTTTTTCTTTTTTTTTTGTGTGTGTACATATGAAGAGTATGGCATGGAAATTCAAAAGAATACAATAAATAAATTAAAATGTCACAGTGAAATGATACATGTATCACACAAAACCCTAGCAAGTAGTAGCACCATCATTTTAATTTGTAGTGTAGTATTCAGCATCACAAAATCATAAGACCATGATCTAAGAACCGTGACAGAACTCAGCTATACTACTTTTGCATGTAAGCATCCACCAGACACTGGCTTGTATTATTTTTAATTCTTTTAAATTGTTCTTCGTTTTGCTGATGAAATTGTTACTTTTAGCCATCATTTTAATGCATTACCTAAAATCATACATAGTGAAAACATATATCATGTGCATGTAGTGTTTTAAAGACAGAGCATATACTTTATAAGAAAAACAAATTAAATGGATTACAAAGCTTTCTTCTTTCCCAGATATTGATCAGTGTTCAGGCATGATAGATTAGGATTTGTCCATTAGTTCATAAATCCTTTTGGAGTTTATTGCTTACACTGAATGCTTTTATATGGCGCAGGGCAGATATACATTTTCATAGCACACACAAGACAGATTTTAATTTTAGACAATAGTAAAATCAGTTAACATAACTCTTGAAGTCATTGAATTACAGAAATACTAGATTGAAATTCTCTCCAACTTAAAGTTTGACTTAAATAGATTAAGTTATCCTTCACACATTTGTTCAGATGTTGAGAATAAAACAAATAAGTGCATTACATTTGTGTATAAGCTCTATGAGAAAGAAAAGTGTTGTCTGTTTCACACTTTATTTTTAGGACCTGGAAGAGTCAGCATGTTGTAACTCATAATAACTCATTTGTTATGGAAAATATTGTTTCTAAAAAGAGACAGTTTACTTATTTCCTTGCATACGATGTCTGTGCACATTTGTGTGCATGTAAGTGTATTTGTTTTATGTTGAATAAGTGGCTTAAATACTCTTTTTCTTCCTTTACAAAGACAATGAAGGAGGTGGTACGATCTCGCACCCCCATGAAAGAAGTAACAACTGTGGAAATCTGGACTCATCCTCATCCACAGGTATGAAAAAGACATGCTTTTAATATTTACTCCCTTTGTCTTTTGCATGCAACTTCAAACTTTCCTTCCTAAGTTACAATATTTGGGTCTATTAAAACAAATTAACAATACAGATAAACAGACAGAATGGCACATCAACTTGCTAGTGTATAACACATAATATATGAAAATTCAAAGAATGATAAAATGTTCCAAGTTTAAACTTTGTTCATGGAGAAGAACGAAATGGGAGAAGTGTATGTAATTTCAGAATTGGAGTAAATTTTATGAAAACTGAATGAATAACAAAAACAGAAACCAATGAGTAAGAACGTTCCTCTGAGCTCTGTGGTGGATAAAACAAGGGGTGGCAAGATAAGGAACAGAACTTCAGTAATATCCAAGTTCGTTTTGTTATGCAGCTTAAAGTTCCTAAAGTAACATTTCTCAGAAGAAGAGTTGATGTATTAAGTGTAAGTTAATAGGGACATTTAAGTCTTCTTTTCTAATTGATAGACCACCCTAGTCAATAAAAGTTTATGGAAAAAAGACTCAGATAATTGCATTTCTTTGAAAAATATCCTCTAGAAAGATGCCTTTCCAGATACTAGCAGAATAGAAACAAGAGAATGTAAGAGAGGCCATGATTCTTAGGCAGCCTTGATCATTCCTTTCATTCAGTGTACTCATCTTAACAACCTTCATTCTAGTGGGATAGTTTTATTGACCATCATCATCTTCAATGATTTTATAATAGTATGAGGAATCAGTGTTTTTCTATATGTGCTCCATCATGTTTCTTCAGGTATTTTCATGCTGGACTCCAGTGATAAAAATGAAATGGTAAATACATTCTTTCTAGTGTGATTGGATGATATTACTTCATCTGCTGAATCAGCTACAATTAATTTTCTAGAAGTGTTTGTTAAATGACTATCAGTTTTAAAAATAAGTTTATTTCTGAGGTCATAGATTGGAAAATGAGTTGTTCTATTTTAAAATATGATTTAACATTAAGATAGGTTTAGCAAAAAGCATAGCATCATTTGTTCTAATGTTAGTCAAATTTTTTGGACATCACTCAAATTAGTTCAGGGAAGAAGGCATTTGAGCTTTTTTTTTAAAAATATTTTCCAAGTGCATTTTTTCTCATTTTAATCAGGACAATTATACAAGCCAAGCCAATTAATTTAAGATTTTTTATAAGGGTACATTCAAAAAGTAGGCTGCAGAGAATCAGATATTAACATCCTATGAAGTTTGTTTTTATCTGTCATACTAGTTTACTATGTGGAGGATGCTTTACTTCAGTGGCAGATCATTTGCCTAGTATGTAGATCAAGTCCTGGAATCAATTACCAATACTACACTTGAAATACTAAAGAAAAAGTCCAGAATCTAATTACCTGGACACCAAATTTACCATGCATTGTCTTCTATTTAGCTATTTCCAAATGTCTTTTAGTTCATTAATGGAGATGTAAATTCTGAAAATGTAGACACATAAACACAAATCAAAACCATTAGATAAAAATAATGGTTATTTATTTATTTTCACATAAACATTGCAAATTTATGAAATCTATATGCTGCTTAATAATAATAATATCGTACAATATTTCTCATAGTTAAAATATACTTTTGTGTAGAGTTACAGAATTAATTTGGGCACCATGGAAAGAAATGATTAATTTTAAATATAAATATCAAATCAGTAACTGTTCAAATTTCCACAAAATTTAAATTGCTCTGGTCTAAATTAGATGCTTTACCAAATTTCAGGTTCCAACTCTCAAATTTTTCCATTCTTCTGGTTCCATCTCAAGAAAATTGCTAAAGATTGAGCATACATTGTGAACATAACATGATCTGGACTATATTTGTGTCCAAATGGAATTACATAGTTGTACTATCAGTTTATTGACTACTTAAAGATGTAACTGAAAGTCTTCAGAACAGAAACATTCAGAAATTGTACACCTTATTTATCATTTATATCTTTAAATTTGATTCAGACTCATGAAAATTTGATAAATATTCTCCCATTGATGTATAAATCCACTCCTGCATGACATCAAAATGTGTCCTACAATGTCCAAAAATTTGATCTGCCACTATGACATAAGTTACTATTGCTAAGCACAGTTAAAAGTCAGACAGAATAAGACATTTATCCTCCACAAATAAGAGACTCACGAAGAAGCATTTTGTGGTGCCAGGTAGTTACTATTCACGATATTGTACTGATATGTTATAAAATACTGTGGCTTTAATTTGCTAACAAACACAAAATGCCTACAGGAAAAGTAAGTACTTTTATACTATTGGTGCTTTTTTGTTGAGTCTCTTTAATTATCTGATATTTGTTGTTGTGTTGCATGAGACTTCAATTTAAAATTACCAGGAAAATTTTATCATTTAAAATGAGTTATAACATATAGTGGTAAATTACACCCCATGTATAGTTTTACTTTATATTCGTACTCCCCAACTCTGTCCAGATATACCCCCTTCCCCATTCAACCAATTTTGTGTCTTTTCAATCCCCATCCATACCAGTTTGTGCTGCTGAAGTATTCTTGTATGTGTAGCTTTCCATTGGAGAGTGGCCTAATTATGTGGGGCTATGATAGTAGAGAAAACTGACTCTCCCTCTCCCAGAAGCTAGAAGGGCTGGGATTTCATGTCCATGTCCCAAATTCATGCTGTTATTTGGTCTGAGCAGACTTGCACAGGTCTTGGGTATAATGTCACAAAAGCTGTGAGTTCATATGTGCAGCTGCCCTACTGTGCCCAAAAGACGCTGTTTCCTTGTAATCATCTTACACCTCTGGATCTTACACTCTATCTGCTCCTTCTTTTACAATTTTCACTGAGCCTTGGGAGGTGGATTTGCAGAAATTATGTTCTGATAAGGACTGAACATTCTATGTTTCTTAATTTCTGTCTTGGCCAGTTATGGAACTCTGTGTTAATCAGTATCTACTAAAAGTACAAGCATCACTAATAACAATTGAAAAAACTCATTTTTGAGAATTTCAAATATAAGTATACTTACATCATTTCTGATTATGTCTCCTTCTCCCCTCAAACTTCTTCTGTGTCTCCCTCTCACTGTCTATTTTGTTTCCTCTTATTCTTTAATTATTATTGATATAATATTTATGAAATACACATGCATACACACATACTACTGAGTTATTTATTGTTTCTGTATGCATATATGTTAGGGTCAACCACTTGGGAATGACTAACTATGAGGGGCTAGTCCCTGGAGTAAGCTAATTCTCCTTCTTTCTGTCACACTGAATGCCTGTAACTCTTCATCATGAATTTGGGGCCTTTTGAAATTTTCTCCATTTAAGTTAGGATGTCAATTATACAGATCTTGCTTATGCAACCATATTGTTGAAATTTCATGAGTAGTGCTTACCTGTCATGTCTAAGACATTCAATTACAGATGACATCTTACTCCTCTGTCTGTAACAATCTTTCTACCTCTATTTTATAAAGCATGAAGCTTAGACTAGACATTGGGGTTGTGCTGTACATGTACCAATTGGTACTGAGCTCCCAATGTCATTTATTATCTGCATTTTGAGAAAATATAGATTCCCTTAGTAGCCCTCTCATGCTGAAAAAAATATGCTTATTTGATAAAAAATGAGAGCTCTGTGTATATCTATGGCTATAAAGATAAATATATAGAAAGAAGATGGATAGTATATAAGTTTAGCAAAATGTTGGTAGGTTATCTTCTAGGGTCTCTGACATCTCCACCCATAGGTAGTTGGATAGATTTACTAGGTTTACCCTATCAACCATGATTTCCCTCCTGTTAAGTGGACTTTAAGTCTGATTAGATAGCATTTAGTTACCTCCAAAATATAGGGGTCAGTATTACATGATTAGGGTTATCTTGCCAGGCTGGCTATTTTTGTGATTCAAGCTTTCTTCATAGGCACATCAAGAGGCAACCAAGACCAATGACACTAGCCCATAATTTGAATATCTTGGGTCCACTGACCAACAACTTGAAAGGTTTCATGCATGCATGCATGGCACTGAGTTTTTTTTTCTTAAAGTGCCTATGAATCTTAAGGCAAGTATTGTTACTACACACACACATACATGCACACACACAAGCACACACAATCACAGAGAGAGATAGAGAAAATGTTTTCTAAAGTAACCCTATGAAATATTTCCTTGCAGATTTTTCAAATATCCTTAGTATTATTTTCATTCTTTATCCTTCTCCCTCTGAATTATACTCTCTTCATCCTCTGAAAAATAATCCCCTCATTTCTTTCCCATTTCCCCATCCACCTTTTATAACATCTATGTGCTCAGCTTAGGCTCTGATAAACATTGTAGTTAGCCTTGGAAGTTTTAAAGGAAAAATTTGTTTTATCAATAACAGTTTATGATTCCTTGTGAACTAGCTCATTTTCAAGATGATATCATTTCTAAAGGGGAGTATTTAGAAATCACCATAATCAAAATAGAAACTATTGGATGTATAATTTCAATCTTAAAATTAAACTGTTTTCTATTTTGTCATTGATATCCAGATTCCTATTTGATGTCCCATTCAAATGTGTGGATGTTAACTAATTTTATTTCATAATACAGATAGAGAATTTAATTGTCTCTTTTTAAAAACTGACAGGTGCTTTATGCCATAAATAGAATGGTCTCTAACTATAAATATAACTATTCAGCTAATTATGGTCTCATGTAAACTGTGATATTGATGGTCATTTTTTATATTTTGTCAGCTTTGTTAGTTTTCAGAAAATATTAAAATAATAGAGCTATCTCTATAACTATTAACTGTAGCTAACATTTTAGCAGCTATACAGTACTTAGAGAGAATAGGTATCTAATAAAAATCTAGTCACTGACCCAAGTTGTGTATGTAGAATCATGTGTCAATTCATCTGGAGTCTTAATTTTGTAATAAAGCATGAATAATCGGTTGAACTTTTCCCTTTCCATAATCAACCTCCCTTTATAT